AGCCTAGCCTTTATTCAGCTTTTCTGTCCCTGCTGCTAACTACACCTATTCCATGTTCACTCTACATGGTAGCTGTACTCTGTGCTGATCCTGCAGGCCCCAGCTGTGGAGGTGGGGGGCCTAGTGGCTCTTGCTGGCTAGTGTATAGAATATAGGGCAGCGAATGAGAGAAGGACAAGGCAGAAGGGACATGGCAAAGGCAGTGATGCTGCCAACAGTGCCGCTGGGCAAAGTCACTGGAGTACCCTTTCTAGATCAGTGCAGCTTTCTGATCACTAGTGGCCACAAGGCTGGGGCAGGAACACTTATATCCCCTGGTCTGGCACACACTGAAGGGTCCTGATCACACCTTACAACCATTCCCGCTGTCCCTGTGCTGAGTGGGCTGGAGCTGTGCCCTGAGCCTTCCCAGCCTACACAGTAAGCAATGAGGCCTTGGCTGACCACCCAGAGATTGTCCAAAGCCAGGAGTTGGCTGTTTGCCCTCAAACCTCCATGGCAGGTGCTGATCCAGCCTGGATCCCTAGCTGGGGCCTGCTGGCATCACCTCAGTGTTCCTGACAGGCCAGGCACCCAGAGGCATGGGTGTTCAGCATAGCTGTTTCCACCCCAGAGACTACATCCTGGGGATGGTCATCTTCTGCTTCCCTCAGTGTAGACTGAGCCAGGGTGGTGACAATCTGCCCAACAAACATCTAAGTAGTCTTCAAGGCTTCCAAGGAGTAGTAAGATAAAAACCAAGGCCAGTGTGAAGATGAACGTTGGGCTTCAGGGGACCCTGCCTGCGCCAAGGAAGCTCTCTGGAGGCTGGGGACACTAGCATGGCAGGGCTGACCTGACTTGGCCTGGTGAACAGCCTCCTGGCTGATGGTGAGAATAGCCTTTTCTGTAGGAGTTGGGGGTGGGAGGGAAAGTTCCAGGGGATGGATGGAAGGATGTGTTACAAAAGCAAGTCACAAGATGAAGGGGGACAGATAGGGGAGGCAAGAATTTCTTGTTGGTTCTGTACTTGGGGGTAGAATGGTGCTGAGGCCTGGCCAGGTTCACCATGATCACTTTAACAAGGGTAACATGTCAAGAACAAGGCACTCACAGTAGTGGATGACCTCCCTAGAGGACATGTAGGTGGCTATTTCTATGCTTAGAGGGCTCTGTAGTTACCCCAACTCTTCAGGTATCCTGTGTTTTCATCTCCTCTTCTGGCTCATGACATTTACCAGAACAAATTTGGGAGGCTCCCTGAAGAACCCCTCTGAGCACAGAGAAGCTTACTAAAGCACAGAACCGAATATTCTAAGCCTTAAAAGAAGCAATACCAATTCTTATTTTTGTTTAAAATGTACTTTTGAAAGAATTACTGTGGTAAAGCTCACTCAAGGAAGAATAGGGCTTTATTCTATTTTTATGTACTGCTGGGTGCATGTGGGTAGAAGCCCAGCCTTTTAAGAATGCCTGGGGACGGCACTCAGGCAGAACCCTCAGAAAACGGAGGGCAGACAAAGGCACGAAGACACTGAACCCCATGGCCAGGCACAGGTGGACTTGCTAGAGGTCCACGGTCAGGTGCTTCAGAGCACAGAGGGGACCCACGGACTCTGGCTGGAGCTGGATCTCAGACAGGGAGGAACTCAGCCGGGAGCTGTGTGCATTATAGGCTAGGGCTCCTCAAGGTCAGGACTATGGATCAGAGAACATCAGCTCACCCTTGGCTTCAGAGTCAAGCCCAGCCAAGCATGGGCCAGCAGAGGCTGCTAGACCCCAGGCCAACAGGCCTACCCAGGGTGAGCATGCTCAGTTGCCAGGTGTGCTGGGCCAGGTGTGTTGGACAAGCTGTGGCGCATCTGGCACATTAGGAAGCCATGATCAGCTGCTGGAAGGACTCTGCTACAAATGGGTCTGGTCAGCTGGCAGGCCAGCTTCTAGGGCCAGTATCCCTCTTTGACTTTGTAGAGTTATGTTTGTGATTTATTTAGTACTAGAACTTAAAATGAACTGTGAAGGGAAAAATAGGCTACATGTAACAAAGGTGGAAGGAGAGGCAACAGCAATCTCTAGACAGGGTAAGGAACATAGTCACCAATGGGCTTGCATGAGGATGGAAGGGAACAGGGCTTCCCTTGGTGACACACTATTAGATGACTGGATGTAGAAGCAACTGTTCCATTGCTTGTGTTCTTGGAGATGTTTACTGCAGACAATGATTTGCCCAAATAAGTATTTCTAGAATGACCACGTTGAATGTCAAGTGTGTGGCAGGCTTAGAGTTGTACTTTCCTTAGTATCCAGATTCTATCAGTGAATGTGTCAAGACCATTCAACAGAGAAAGCACAGCACAGCATAATGTCTCTCCAACAATGGTGCTGGGAAAGAAAAGTAAATACTTGTGTGCAAAGGAATGAAGCTGGCCCCATTTTCATGCCATGCATAAAATTAATTTAAAATAAATCAAAGGGCTCAATGTGAAAGCTAAAATTATAAAACTCTTAGAAGAAAAAATAGGGTTCAGTCTTCATGAGCTCGGGGTTTGTGATGACCCTTAGACACCATGTGCTGCACAAGCAGCAAGGGAAACACACATCAGACCTTACCAGAATTACAATAAACAATACTGTACCCCTGACAAAATGAAAACGTAACCACAGAATGGAACAGTACATTTCCAAATCTTCTCTCTGACAAGGGACTGAAATTAGAACATAAAAAGAACTCTTTAATTCAATAATTTAGAAAATGGGTGTGGAGCTGGGAGTATAGCTCAGTAGTAGAGAACATGCTTAGCACCTACAGGTTCCTTAGTTCCACTTTCAGCATTAAAAAAAAAAAAAAAAAATTTAAAAGTCAGCAAATAAGGCATAGAGATGTGGTTGAGTGGTACAGTACTTGCCTAGCATGCCCTGGGTTCAGCCCCCAGTATCACAAAACTAAATAAATGCAAATTTTTAATAATGAGCAAATACCTGAATAGAAATGTTTCTCAAAAGCTATACAAACAGTCAATACAGATAGGAAGGTGCTCAATGTCACTAGCCCCAGCCTACCTTCAGCCCATCTTCAGGGCCCCCTTGGTCACTGTGCTCAAGAGAGAAATATGACACTGGCCAAGGCAGCAGAGCCCCAGAGATACCTGGGACCTGACCAGATGATGCAGAGCCTCAGTTTAGGCAGGGCAGTGAATTAAAAAACTAGAAAGTCAGGCCCACACTTCACACTATGCATGAGAATAACTCCAAATGGATCTGAGATCTAAGGAAAATCAAAACCCTGGGGCAAGGTACACAGTTCACTGGTGGAGTCCACGCTCTTTGCCTAGCATGCATGAAGTCCTGGGTTTGATCTCCGGCACTACAAAAAAAAAAAACAAAAAAAAAAAACAAACAAAATCAAAAGCATCTTGGCACCATGCAAAAACATGGTATGTTTCCTTACTGCCTGGGTGAAGGTGATTAAAGACCCAGATGCGCTAACTAAAGAGAGGTACATTTGACTACAAAAAAAAAAAAAAAAAAAAAACCTTTAACATTGCAAAAACCACTACAATTAAAGATTTTGAGTTTCTGGACATATGTCATGAAGTATTTGCAATATAAATTATAAAGGGTTCATATCCTTCATATGCAAAGTTGAGCATGAAAAGATGAAAAATACTAAGGGAAAATAAGCCAAAGAGAAGAGCATTACACAGTGAACCATCACATACAGATAATGTTACCTTTGCCCACTTAGCCCATCAACAGAGGCACAACACCCACACTGTACAGCAGACCTCCTCCTAAGGTCACATGGCCAGAGGCTCCTCCTCAGGAAAACTGGAGGGAGCTGCCACAGGGACACTGCACACAGATGCAGGGGTGTGTGGCAGTCACCTTCTGACTTGCAAGTCCTTGTGGGAGTTTACCTCAAGACCACTTCAAAAGCACAAAGTTACAGGCACAGGCTGTATAACTGGCCAGGCCTTCAGCATCCCACACAGGACTGCTGCATAAATCCTGGGGAACACACAGTGCTCACTTAGGAAGCTATGACACAAGATCATACAAAGGCAGTAAGAGTAGTCTCCAGGGAGGCTGTTGAGAGAAGATACAGCCTGAGGGGCATATGTGGTTAGAGGCCTCCATGTAGAGATAAAGGAATATAAGAAACCACATTGCCACTTAAAACAAGGGTAGGACCTAGGAAAGAGGGCATGGGAGTGGGCCTTACTGAATACATCTCATGTATTATTATATTACTATATAAGAGCAAAGTCTCACTTGCTGAATATTCTGTTTATTAACAGATGACAATTACTTTGAAAGGGGATAGGGAAATGCCACACAGGACAGCAGAGTCAGCTATAAAACTGGGCCAGGATGGTGGAGGGCAAAGCCTCATGCCAGCACCTGACCTAATCAGAACGAGGAGTGTCCTGCTCACATGGGTGGCTGTGGTGGGATTAACATGGCAGACATACTCAAGGATTGTGGCTGAGGGTGGGACATACACAATCTCAAAATTATCTGAAAAAGGTAATGAGTAACCAACACTAACAACAGGTGACTCTAGAGAAAGACACATGAGTGTTCCTGACACTGCTTTTATTCTTTCAACTTTTCTATAAACTTGAAATTACCTCCAAGCAGTGGCTGAGAATATAGCTCAGAGCACAGCAACTGTCTGGCAAGAGCAAGGTCCTGAGTTCTATTATCAGTGTACCCTTTCCCCCCCACCACAAATTACTTCCCAAAAAAACCCTGAAAAATAAAACTAATGAATTATATTCACTTGCATTGTGTGGATGGATGCTCAGAGGGGCCTGAAGGACTGGGCCCACACAGAGTGCTTGTGGGATATGTGGCCTCCACAGGTGGCCATAGTGGGGAGGCTCCAAGAGCAGTGTATGCAGGCCCAGGAAGTGCCCAAACCACCTGCAGTGAGACATCCATGAGGCTCTGAAAAATTCTCCCCTCCTACCTTGCCAAGGCTGGGGACAACTCAGCAGGTTGGGATGGTGTCTCCTTACCTCGTGCTCGATCCTGGAATCCTGGACTCCTGCCCATCGACATGATGGCTCCGGCACTCGTAATCCTGTGTCTGGGACATTGCCACCTGTCTCCTGAGTGCTGAGATGAACAGACATCAAAAGATCATCAGGATGCCTCCTCCAGCATCAGGCAGGAAGAAGCCGCACTACGGAGAAAAATAAAAACCACCTAAGGACCAATTTGGAAAATACCAAATTACACTACCAAACAACCCCAGCCCTCCCAGGACCAGTGGCTGGGCAGATGAGGAGCAGCCAAGTCAAGGGCTCCTCATGCGTAGTCCTCCCGAGTAGCCTTGGATTTGCACACCACCTGCCAACTGCCAGTGGTCCATACAAGGCCAGGGCTGGCTGCATGGAGGGACCACATGGCTTTAAGTGCTCAGGACCATGCAGCCTGCTCTGCCCCCGCATGCTTACATCTGTACTTCCTCAGTGCAGATGTGGGTAGACACTACTACTACCCCAGCAGCTACTTTGCAACGCAACAGGACAATGAAAGTACACATGTAACTCTGCCCAGAGCTCCCAAGCATGCAGGTAGGGCAGATCTCCTGAGTTGTGACTGAGAATGACCCCCCTCATCATAGATGGCACATGCCGCAGACACAAGAAAAACATAAACGACTCTACACTCATTCATGATATAAAACTTTAGGTAAATTTAGATCTAATTGTTAAAAGTAAAGCAAAGTGACATGCACCTGTAATCCCAGCTACTCAGGATGCAGAAGTAGGAGTATCACAAATTTGAGGCACTAAGTATGGACAATTTAGAGACAATGTCACAAAATAAAAAATAAAAGCTGGGCATGGTGGGACATGCCTGTCCAAGCACTCAGGAGGTTGAAGCAGGAGGACCACTGTAAGTTCAAGACAGCCTTAGCTACACAGTGAGTTCAAGGTCAGCTTGAACTGTATAGTAAGACCCTGTCTCAAAAATAAATAAATATAAAAATAAAATTAAAAAAATAAAATTAAGGACTAGGAATATAGCTCAGTGGTAAAGAACTTTTAGGTTGCAATGGCAAATACTGAAAAAAAAAAAAAAAAAAGTAAAACAATATGACCGTTAGTAAAAATGAACTAAGCTTCACAAGTAGCTGAAGAAAGGTGCCTGAGTCAGATATAAAGCCAAGACTCAAAGGAAAAATCAGTTGGGCAGGACTATAATAAAGTTGAGAACATTTGTTTATCAAGCCATTGAGAGGGCTGCAGGATATAGCTCAGTGGCACAAATGCCTGCCTGCCAAGCACAAGGTCCTGAGTTTGAGGTCCAGTACCAAAAAAACAAGATGCCACTGAGAGTAAAGATGGTAGTAGGTCTACAGTAGGAAGCATCTGTGGGAGTGGGCAGTCTGACAAGAAGCATATCCAGATATGAATGATTGATGGCAGATAATCCCATAGAAGATAGAAATTATGGAAATGTGCTTCAATTTATTCACCATCATAAAATGCTAATTAAAAGGATAATATAGCACAACAAAACAGTTAAAACGGTAAGGACAAAAAAACTAACCTGTGCTGTAAAGGATAAGGAACAAGAATGTGCAACACCACTGGCAGGTGTAAGCTGGATAACAGCTCCAGATGGCAGCCAGGCAGTGTTTTCTAAAGTTCAATATATATTCTCTCAGGCCGAGGCTCCCCACCTCACAATGGAGGATCCAGATCACATGTGTTCATGACAGTCCCTGCACAGGATGAGGGGCCCTCAAGAGTACACACAGATATGCTCAGCAGCCAACATGGGGCTAAGAGACCCCTACAATCAGTGACTCTCAGACAACATCAAAGTGAGAGGAAGGAGCCAGATACAACTACATATTGTGCAGTACCCTTTCAAAGTTCGAAGTCAGGTGAAAGCATCGCTGCTGCCATTAGAAATCAGACGGCATGGGGACCAGGGCTGTGCTGCGCTCTCCAACCAGGGAGAGCTGCTGCTGCTCTTGTACCGCTACTGTGCTGGTACGTTTTCCTTTGTGTGCACCCTGATGCAACAAAGGCTGTGACAGCAGGGCATAGCACCAAGTGCACTGTCTCCTTGGGCCCTGCCCACAACAGTTCTTAAAAGGGGACCATTCCATGGATACAAACTGTTAATTCAAGAGGAAATCTGAAGACTCAAGCACCAAGGGAGGGCACTACCAGCCATGGTGCCAAGGGGAAGAGACACTGCAGGCCAGTTAGAAACTCTCCACATCCCAGGTAGACCAGAGGGCCACAAACCCAACTGAAATCCACTAAAGTCACACACTGGACTCTCCCTGGGGGAAAGGCTCCAAGCCCTCTCCTTTCAGCTACTTGGTTACCCACATATCCACTTACTTACATTATACAATGAATAGGAGTGCCATTTTTAAACACAAAACTCAAATGTTCTTAATTTGAAAGAAAAGAGGGGACCCATATGGGTCCAGCATTAAAAAAAAAAAAAAAAAAAGCAATGTAAATTTTGTAAAAACTAGAAGGTACCTATGAGGGGCTGAAAGCAACTATCATTAAATACCTGCACCCCTTCTCCTCTTGCCCCACAGACAGGCCTGACACAGCCCCTCTAGACAGCTTTCTCCAGTCGGGACGCACTTCCCAGAGACCCCTGTGAGTTACATTTCACACTGTGCCTTTGTTCCTGAGAGCAATAATCCTTCAGTCTTTTGGAGTTCCATGATTGTCAGAACGAGGTTCTGCCTCTACAGCACAGCCTGCTAGAGTTGAAAGCACGACTGTGTAATTGCAACACATGAAGAACACCCACACCTGACCACTGGACTTCTGGGTCAGCAGAGACACTCTCCTTAGCCAGCTATATCTGCTTTCTTCTAGCAATACTGTATTTTATATTTTTTTAGTGTACAAATGTCATATGAACTGTCTTCTATGTACCCCTAAGTGTCATTGTTCTGAGACAGGTTTTCATATTTCTTTTAGTTTACTTTTTCAAGTAACGTGTGCACTTTACATGTAATGTCTGCTGGCATAAAATCACACTGCTTGTTACCCCTGTACAGTCCATGATGTGTGTGCCTTTCCTTACCAATACTGGAAAAATTTTATTCTTTATTCTAATTAGTTTGGCTAGAAGCTTGTCAAATTAATTTTTATGTGGGGGGGAGCTCAGCCCACCATGGGGCGGGGCTGGCTGGCAGGTGGTGCTGGGGGATTGAACCGCGGTCCCTGTGCTTTGCTAAGCTTGTTCTAAGTAGGTGCTTTAGACCACTGAGCCATCTCACCAGCCCTGTCAAATTAATTTTTTTAAAAAAAGTTTGCAACTTCATAGAATTTTCTGCTTTAATTTCTACTTTGATCTTTATTATTTCCTTTCTTTCATTTTGTTTGGGTCTAATTTTCTCTCCTTTTTCTAGTTTATTAAAGTAAAAAGCACAGTTTAAATTTGTACCTTTAAAAAACTCCAACTTGGTGTTTAGCCTTAAAAGTATATGTACAGGTTTCATGACATCCTACACATTTTGGGCCTAGGGAGATAGCTCTGCAGCAATAAGCACCTGTCTAGCACGCACAAGGTCCTGATTTCGATCCCCTGTCACACACACACAAAAAACAATTTTAAAAACTCATTTATTAATTTATTTGGTACAGGATCTTGCTATGCAGCTCTGACTCATAGCGATCCCCCGTCGCAGCCTCCCCAGTGCTGGGATTACAGGTGTGCATCACCATACCAAGTTTTGGTAGCTGGCAACATGTCTGGGACTGTGGGGCCAGCATGGCATGCAGTACTAGGGATCACACCTTGAGTCCTTGTACTTGCCAGGCAGGCGCTTATGCTGTTGAGCTATCTCCCTAGCCCCTCTATTTTTATTTTTATTCTGTCAGAAAACTCTGATTTCTCTTTTTGTTTTCACTCATGGATTATACAGAAGTGTATTAACCAGTAACTGCCAATTTTCTAGATATTTTTATTGGTTTTTAATTGTTTTCATCAGAGAACATATTTTGAATGCTTGAATTTGTTATTTATTAAAATAGCTTATGGTCCAGAAAAATCTATTTTGGTGAACACTCACTGAATATTCATTCTTTCTCATACATACTAGAAATGAATGTGATGTGGGTAGAGTGTATTATAAACTCAGTTAGGAGCTAGGCTTGGTGGTACACCCCTGTAATCCCAGCACTCTGGGAGACTGAAGCAGGAGGATCACCACGAGTTCCAGGCCAGCCAGTTCCAGTGAGACCCCGTCTCAAATAAAATAAAATTGGAAAAAAGTCAAGTAGGCCAGCAGTGCTGAAGCTTTCTCTCATTCTCTCAATCACTGACAAAGAAGTATTGAGTACCAACAGTGTAATTGTTCTTGTTCATTTCTCCTTGCAGTTCTACCGGTTTTGCTTCATACAGCTATACCCCTATGTGTATGCACACTTGTGTTGTATTGATAAATTAGCCGAGATTATGAAATATTTTTATCCTTTATGCCTTTAGAGTGGCTTACTGTCAAAAGCATCTGAGAACTGATTTTTTCTTTCTTTTTTTTAGGGAAGGGTCTACAGGGTATTCAGGATGTCATTACCAGATCAGACTTGTAGTGATCTGCCTGTTCACAGCCTCCCAAGAGCCGAGATTACAGGCATGTGCCACCATGCCCAGTCTCAATTGCTGACTCAGTGTGCCCTGGGGCAGGGCTGGCACGGCAGGCCTGGGGATCAGACCTCCTGCCCCTGTGCCTGCTGGCAGGCGCTTTAATCTGCTGAACTATTTGGCTGGCCCTTGAGAACTGATTTTCATGCCATCTGACAATGCCTTCTCAGGGGGTGATAAACCACCTACATTGAAAACTATTAATGAAGCTTAAATCTAGTATCCTGTTGTTATCCATTCACTTCATTATCTGCTCTCTCTTTCCTCTTTTACTCCCTTTATATTGCCTTGTCTTTTTTTTTTTTTTTTTTTTAAATGTATTTGTTGGGGGCCTGGCCCTAGCTCAGGCCTTTAAGTGGCTGCTTCCACAAAGCTGTCAGCCTCAGGTTG